GGGGGGCAAAGGGTCCTCCACCATAAGATGGTAAAAAGTTTCCCTAAACCAAATGGCATGAGTAGTTACACTATAGTTCTAACATAAACATATTTTTGAAAGATTTCTTAGCCCCTGTCCCACCACCTACATCCCTCTACAGACAAAAATGTGTTTTTTTATATTATTTTTTTTTCATCAACATTATTTTATCTGATTGAAAAAATATGAAAAATAACAAAATAATCTCTCCTACCAGAAAATCGTTTCATATATTTTCTCAGCGCCAAATTCAAATAGTTTTTTTTGGGGGGGGGGATACCAACAAATTAGTGTCTTAGATCCCTGGAACAGGCGTGAAATATCTCAAAAGTTCTTAAAACACAAAACGTAAATTGCTTTTCAGATTTTTTCGATTACTGTAGCGAGCTGTAGTTAAAAGTTTTTTTAAAACTTACCATTTTAAATCGCATACACTTAGAAAATGACTGCAACACTTCCGTGCATTTCTTTGAGTGTTTATTATATATTACAAAAATTGTTCTGTTCAAAAAAACAATGAAACTTTTTTGATAATTGTACCGACATTATGATTAGAACAACAGCTTCGCTTTTATAATAACAGAAAAGTGAAATTACTCTAATAACATTGAATGTAATAGAAATATTCAGTGGGGATAAAAGGTTCGCTTTATTTCTCAGTGCACACTTGACATCAAACAAATATAATACATTAGTAGTTACAATATACTACAGCTGTCTGGAAATTGATTCATTCCTGGAAAATAATATATCGCATTCGTTCTACAAATTCCAACACTAAGGTAGCTTGAAAAAGTGTTGGCAAAAGGTCATAATCGAAGTAGTCTCCCTTGGGGTGATCGCAGCAGACCTGGAATGTGGACCTTATTTACGACACTCAGTTTCAAGCTGAATGTTGCGTGATATCCCGCGGGGTCTAAACGCGTCGTATTCTACGTAGGCTACAGTAAGCGCGCGACTGCTACAGCCTCCCGATACCCGCCCTGCCGTGTGGAAAAGCGGTAAGTTTCAATAGCTGCTTGCGCCTGTCGCCACCGAAAGGATCTCGTGTTATTGGGCGTGTGAAAGGACGTCGAAGAGTGGGGCTTCCAACAGTGCACGAGGCCAATCCCAGACTGCCAAGGGTGCCAAGACTGCATTACGATACTTCGAGGCAGTGGACAATGCAGATAATGAAAAATGAAGCAAACAATTGAAAATTATTGATTTTTTAAACGACAAATAAATATATTGAAATTTTCAGTTCCTGAATTTTTTCTGCAGTTAATGTATTTTCTGTATATCTACATATTAACAAAATCAATCTTTGTCGAGAAATTCTCTTCAATTTTGACAACCTCTGATATAGTGACCCAAAAATGTTAGTCCCCAGAAATTCACTATTACCGGAGGCGACTGTATCGTGTATTACAATGGAAAAACATACTTACAACATATAACATAATAAAGAATTTTACTAAATGCACTCGTATATTTTCACTTACTTTTTCAAAAATTAATAATAAATAAACGCGTAGTTTTTGGTCTCTGACACTTGTATGTTCACGCTAGAACTGCCGGATCACAGAAAAGATGATCACTATGCTCGGTGACTTTTGAATCCGTACGTTTCGCAGCGTTGGCAAATTTCTTCTTTTGAAGTTTCATTAAAGAAAATCGTTTTATATGGACAGTGACCTAAAGTTTTCTATTTACCGCCTACTCTTCCATAGATTACAAGTAATGCTGGAAATCACATAATTTTTTTCGCATCGCAAACCCCCGAAATGTGTCGCAAAAACACGTTTTTAGAAATTTCTTGGAATCTTCTGGCCAGATCCAAAAATAATTGATCAGTTTTTCATCAAGAACCCGAGACGTGTCAAATGATACCTCATAAGTTTCTAATCGTGAATGGGAAGCGGTCTAACCGTGAATGACGGATCCACACACGTTCACTCACGCACACTCACAGTTACTCAAATACTGGTAGGAATTAAATTTATTTCTCAAAATATAGAGAAAAGTAAATATTTTATAACATAAATTTGAAGACTCGAGCAATGAAGTGTCTAAATATATATTTTTTAAATTATCCCAACATTGGGGAGGCAGTTGCTCTCCCCCTGAATCTTGCCTCTGCGTAAGACATTACAGAGAAACTAGTGGAACTTGGAACCTTGTTAATATGTATCAGAAATAGGAATGGTCCTAGCACTGATCCCTGTAGCACTTCCATGGTAACTGTGCCAAAATTTGATTCAGCGTTAAATAACATCTTTTCAGAATGCGGGAAAATTTCTGTACATTGTTTATGTCTTGAGAGATCATATGACCTCAACCCCTTATTCGAAAACAGTCTAGCTTTGTTAGCAGTATTTTGTGAACCACACTAACAAACGCTTTTGAGGTCAATGAATACACCTGCTGTTTTTCTGTTTGCTTCCAAATTTCAAAGAATTTCATGAATAAATTCATAAAAACAGCAGTAGTCATGGAAAAAACCTTCCAGAAAACATGTTGTGATTTTTTAAGGATATTATTAGCTTCCAGAAAGTTAGTCTTACTAGGATGATTTTTTTATTACTTTTGCTAAATAGAACAGAGGTGAGGAATATAGGTCTGCAGTTCCTTACATCTTGTATATCTTTTTTCTTAGCTAATGATCTCGTAATGCTGATTTTTAGGAAGTTTGGAAATGTGAATGCAGATAGAGCTGAATATATTACATAAACTAAAATATTAAAAAGGGCAGGCTTACATTTTTTTTGAATGATAGAATTCATTTCAACAAATCCCAATGAATAACTATTTTTATGGAAATTTATCAATTAATTTACTTAAGAAACATTAGTTTGATGAAGAAATGCAGAAATTGCAGTTTTAGGAGAAGAAAAATGGTTACAAGTGTTACTGTTCTCTGTAAGATATTTAGAGTTAAGAAAGTAATTATTAAAGGTCCTACAAATATCAGTAAGATTATCAAGGATCAAACCTTCATGTGAATATTTGTAGTGCTGAGTGAATATTTTTTGTAAGGCTGAGTTTTTCCATTATTATGCCACATAATGTTTTTAGTCTGTTTTTAATATTTATTTATTTTAGAATGTAATTGATTTGCTGAAATATTCCTCAATTCAAGCCTACAAAGTTTTTTATATTTATTGTATAGTTCGTCGTAGTAGTCATTATTAGTATTTTGGAGCAGGTCATTCCAATCTTTTTTTTTATAACTAATATTTATAACTAATATTTTTAGGAAGTTCAATTTTTTGTTGTTGTTTTTTTTTTCATTACAATATACCGTAGTATGACAAAGGACAAGTAGGATCGCAAAATTTAAGCAATGTTACACTCTTCACTGTCTTGGTGGAAGCAAGAAGCTAAATACTTATCTTTTGCATCCTTGACACAAAAATATTCCTAAATAAAATTATTATTATTATTATTATTATTATTATTATTATTATTATTATTATTATTATTACACTTATAAAATATGTCATTTCTATTAATGTCGCTTCTTACATTACCTTTGTATAAACAATATCTGAACAAATGTTTAGTCTACAATGTGTATGTCATTTCATTGTGTTCATCATCACCCTTTTTGCCAATTTTATTGTGAAACTCTCTTAAATGCTACCATAGATAGGTGTGATAGATTTTCAATCTTGGCAAAATATTTGCAGAGAAAGTTTTTTGACAAGTGGCATGTTCTTATCTGCGAGGCAGGCGAGCGACATGATAGCAGAATTGCAGTATTCAGTCACATATTGTTTTGCTATTGCATGTAGTATCAGCCTGTTTACAAACAACAGAGTTTTAATTCTTTGTCTATGACAACTTGGATGTTAAAGACACAGTTGTGATCACGAAAATAAGTTTTTTAAAAAAAACAATTTGCAGCAAACAAAAGAGCAATTTATGGAATCAGATGAATGGGTGAAGGGTATTATTAGCTTCGTTAATGGGTACAGACTCTGCCACTCAAAACCTTAATAGCAACACCCTGTACCCCGACTAGTTTACATTACATAGCCTGGACCAGAAGGGATAGCGATGCATTAATCTACAAAAGGCTCGTTCTCAAAACATTGACACAGGCCCCGTTCTCCAAAAGTGCTTAAGCAGGCATAGGAAATTAAATTTGCCCTGGTGGTAAGCACGAATGAAACCAGTCAATTTACAAACTTTTCCTGAGATTTTCCTGGGAGGGTAGTGCCTTAGAGTTAAGGAGCAGCTGCAACTGATTAGTATATAGTAAGTAATTTGACAAATTACCGAATGAATGAAATAAAGAGATTATATAATCTTAACATGCAATAATAAAATTATATTCTACATTAAAAAAGAACAAATAATACAATTTAATGAATGACAATCATCTTGATTTTTAAAGTTGTTTGAAAAGAATAATGGCATGGTTAGAATAATATTTTTATTTTAAAGAGCTGATTTTTCAATTTAAATTTTTTGTCCAGATCCTTGGTCTACTCCTCCAGAAGCAGGAGAGCAGTATTATAGTGATGATCCATCACGAAGCATCAGTGATGAGAAAACAAAGGAATATTTGGCAGGATGGGAAGAAGAGTGGAAACAGTTGGGGTTGGACTACGAATTTGTGATGGATGATGCTCCTGAGGATTGTAATAAACAGGCAACTGGACCATTCTGTGTGAGTAGGTATGCCTTTTCCACTTTTCACGATACTTCATAATACACTGATGCTGTATACTAATGTTGCGTTGCAAGTACATTAAATAAGTAAGTAAATTAACTTCTTTTCAGTCTCTCAGTAATTTCAAGAATCTGCGCTTCAATAATAACTTGACAAATAAATTTCTTGACTGTTACCATCTGTTTTCAAAACAGTTGAGGAGAATTCTTCTCAAGGGTGAATGAAGTAATATATATTTTTATATCTCATTCTAGAAAAAACTCCTTTTATAATGCTCCATTGAGGATCACAAATAGTCAGTCTTATTTAGGGACGTACATTTTTAATAAAGCAAAGATCATAATTTTATTGGATTTTTGTTAATCCTAGTAAAAAGTGCCATTTAATCCCAACCATTAAAAAATGTAGAATATTATCTATTGAGATTTTAATAAGAAAGAAAGGAAAAGCACTGTGGAAAGAATTACAAACGCAGGAAACTAGTGTATAGTATTTTGAAATAGGCTACAGTCCCTGAGATCTCTGAAAATGATTTGTTTATTGTGTTGGCTGAAGAGCATTCAATTATGAATATTGCAAGTGTTGCGGTCATGCTCAGTGTTTGTTGTGGTCATTAAATATGTAAAAATCATTAGATAGATATACAAAAAATATTAATCTTTCATTCCAGCCATGATTCTTACTGTGTTCATGGTTCATCGATTTGTGTTCTTGAAACCACTCAATGTTGGCCGAAGGACTGGTTGGCTAAAGACTGTCCATACCTTAGGATCATTGGAGTAAATTATGATACATCATTATCAATGTGGGGACCAATGTGTCCAGAAGATAAATCCAGGCAAGTGCATTCTGTTTACTGTAAGAACGTCATTTTAATTTTGCATCATAATGACGTACTGAGAAGTAATTCACTTAGTAGTAAGACATTATCAATTTTGGTTATGGAAAGTACTGCTAGAAAACATATTGTGGCCTGATGAACCTTTTTTATAAGACACTGGGAATTTCCATGGAGACAACCAATCACATTGTCCCCAGAAGACATGAATCTGATATTGTAGTGCTACAAAACACTGTAGAATCACATTGCTATTTTAATTAGAAATTAAGCAGGTATATGTTTGTTAAGAAAAGTATGCATTTTCTTCTCATCCACATTGAAAAGTTTATAGTCCTAATGGTGTCTCTTTCTACAGATGTGAAAAAATTTCAGTTAAATAAAGGTAAGAAACCTACTGCTCCTAAATGAGTTTGTAGAAAGCTTAAGTGTGAAGATGAACAAATTGTGCCAGCCTTTTGCCTTTGTTTCAGAGGGACTCTGGTGGAGCGTAGCGAAGCTCTGCGCCTCAAATTGCTGGAAGCAGGAGTGGGGCAGAGGCCTGTAGTGTGGGTTACTCATTCAATGGGGGGCATTCTAGTAAAGAATATGCTTGTCAAAGGTTTGTAATCTTGTAGTGCTTGAAATGTTTGAAATTAGCTTGGTAGATTCCACTAAATAATGTTGCAGCTTGGGAAAGCAGTGATCCAGTGCAGAGGCAGCTGACCATGAACAGCAAGGCAGTGGTGTTCTACAGTGTGCCTCACAAGGGCTCTCCTCTGGCTGCCATGGCTCCCACTGCCAAATTCTTCTTATGGCCCACTATTGAAGTACAGGAATTACGGGAAAGTAAGTTTTTGTTTCCACTAAGGGCATTATTTCTATTAGAAAAGAGTCAGAGTCAAGTTTTTTTCCCTAAGTTATCTGTCCCAAAGATATCTTTCAAGTAAATAAACCAGTTTTTTACAATCTGTGTAATTTAAACCAAACTAGCATAGCTGTGCGAGAACTCTCCCATGGTAATCCCCACCCTTTCTCTATCCTTTCCATTAAGAAGGAACATTGTTAATGAACCATGTTTATTTGTTAAAATAATGTTCAGATGTAACTTCGTACTTACAGTATATCAAGCAAAAATAAAAACAATGCAATGGATGTTAGAAACAGATGTTCAATAGAGGTTTATTCAGTATTATAGAGATATGTTCTTCGATATATTCTTCCTAAAAAACATTTGAAGTTCTTTAATAGTCACAAAATATTAGAAAAGGTTTTTACTCTTCAGAAAGCCAAGTAAAGTTTTCCATACGAAAATACAGGATCGTGCAAGTACAACCCTACTCTTTGTAATATTATTTAACTTTCCTGGATTTATTATGAGGAACAGAGGGGGTTTTGCAGGACACCAGTTTACTGGGATGTGAAAATTGAAAAATTAATTGTATATTAAAAAGTATTGGATTATTTTTCGTGATCTTATATACCTCAAGAAAAGCAGTTCTGAACCCAAAAATAATAAAACTAATATTTTCACCTTTCAGTAATAAATACCATTTGTTACCATTAGAAACAATTCAGTAAACTTAACTTCACTTCGGTACATGGGAATGTTGCTCAAAGGATGTGTAGGTATTGAATATCTTGAACTGACACCTTTTAAGTTCAATATCAAATGGTGTATTATGTACAGTATGAGTTAACAGCTGGGTATTGATGTCCAGATTTCATATACTGCCAACATTTAAATTGTGCATCTGAATTGTGATCGTTGGCAGTTGTTGAGTGACTTGCACTATTCTTTCTACAATTTTAAATTTGGTTGCTTTTTTAAATTAATTCATGTAGTATTATAGGCTAGCGCTTTTTTTGTTTATTTCTTTCAACCTATTTTCCTTTAGTTAATTTAAAAAGTTTGTTCTTTGTGTTGTGCCTTTGCACAAGTTTTCTCTTTCTACATCCGCGTATCTGTGCGAGAACCCTCGCTTGTTAAACCCCACATTCTCCCCTATTCTATTTCCATTCTAAGAGGGAAGTTATTAAAGAAACATATTTATTTGTTGTGTAATAAAATGTGTAAAGGTACCTTCCAATGCACTAACACAGTATCAAAAATTTTTAAAATGCTATTTATGTTGATTATAAATTTTCAAAAACGATTTATTAAATATCATTGAGAGAGTTCTTGGGACAATTCAGATCACTTTCATAAAAATTCTTGAAGTAATTATTCAATATTCTTTGATAGATAGCTTTCGCTTTTTGTGATAGTCAAAAAAAATTTTTTTTTAAAGCTTTTTATTCTTGAGAAAGCAGAATCACTGTTGATAATGAAAATACTGGTACAGGTAAAACACAAACCAAACCTAACTAGACACGTCTTCACTCTTCACTGTACAACCACATTCCTCCACAATTAGGTACACAGCACTTGCAGACCTCGGCAAAAAGAACCACGGACGCATAAGAAACAATAGTCATCAGTATTAAGCAACTGTTAATAGTATTTCTAGTTGTTTCTGCAAGAGTGAATCTTAAATTAATAATTATGCAAATAAACCTTGTCAGTCTGTGCCACAGAAAGTGTAAATAATATGATAGAGGAATCTAAGCCTTTTAAGGATGACGTCACAAAGATGGCCACCATCTGTGAAATATAGGTGGAATTGGTAGTATCTATAAGTGCCGAATCAGCAAAAATTTCATAGAATACAATATTTCAACATGTGTGGAATGATTCTTTGAGGTCTTTGGCCTCAAAATTTTGGTTTTTATGGCCCTAAAACTCTTTGTTTAGGAGTTGTTCAAGATATATCTGACTGAGTGCTGTAGGCTGTATTTGAAATGAATATTTACATGCATTTTTTAAACAAATTCTTCAAATTTTAAAAGTAAAGGTACAATTTGTTACCTCTCTGTGAAATTCTCATTTTTTTAGAGATCTCATATTGAAAGATTGGTTGCGTGTGTGAGCCGCAAATGGTATGTACGGTACTGAAATAATATAGGAGACGATAGTACAAAATTGTCTTTATCTGCTTTAAGTATTTGTAAACACTTCTCTACTCATCTGTGTCAAGTGAGTTGATAATGTGTAATGCATTAAGGTATTTAATGAATTTCACATATGAAGTACTATTTCCATTCTTATAACTAATTTTATGCACATACATTTTTTGTAGATTCCCCAGCATTACTTGATCTTCACAAACGGTTCCTTCAGATGCTGAAGGAAATTCCTATGGATATAATAAGCTTTGCTGAAACTAAACCTACTGCTGTTCGCCCATTGCTCATGGAAGTTTTTCTAGTCCCTCCCAAATCAGCTGGTGAGTATTTTTATTCACTCTTTTGTGAAATGTTTTACTCTCATTGTGATAGGTTTGTTTCTCAGAATTACAAATTTTCAGGTAAAACTGTTCTTATGATCAAAAGTAATTTGAAGGATATTGTTATATCCCATCATTTGTCCTTATTCTCAGATCATCTTTTTGTCCTTTTTCTCAGATCCAGGAGTGGGAGAATATTTCCAAATACCCCAAGATCATATCTGCATTTGCAAGCCAGCTAGTAGGTAAGATATTGTAATGTTTCTTGACTTTCCAAATATAGTTTTTCATTCATATTTTTTTTTTTAATTTCATTGTGAAGATGCTATTTAATGAATAATATTTTTTTAAATTCATTATCAGCTGCAATTATGTCTGAGGTTTGTGAAAGGAATAAAGATTTTAGTTTGATTCATGAGCTTATTGAATTTTGTGGTTTCCTAATGATAATGATTTGTAGTTTCAAAGGGAAGATATTAGTAGTTGACAGCTAATGGCAGCTGGTTCTAAGGGGAAAGAAGGGCAGGGCCTCAACAATATTTAACAAGTATTGATATATCTTTATCGTAGGCTCTGAGTCGCAAATGATTGCCTATTATTGGAATTGATTATTCGTAAAGAAGGGCAATGCAAATGCACATTATGTCTTAATGCACGGCTTCTTAGGAAGTTGTGCCTAAACCCCCAGAATAATGGATAAAATTGCTTGTTGCGCTCAAAGGTAATCCTATTATTTCTCCTAGAGTCCAAAGTGGTAACTCTCCACCTTTGACAAGCCCTCCCATTCTCTGCACAGTCACTGTTGACTATATATGATAGACCTGAGAGCGGCAGAAATGAGCCTTTACTGTTGAAAGGATAGTTTGTGCACATCTTTTGCAAAGTTCATGCCACAGTTCTGCTTGGTGTGAAATAAGCAAAGTGGAGTTCTTACACCATATTCAGATTTCCTTAGTCAAACATCAAGAAAATGTGGATATTAAATGGTTAGAAGAACATCAATTGAGCAACTTAAAATATATACAGGTTGTTGGCCAGAAAAAAAAACAAATTTTATGACCTTTTAAAGGTATCCATGTTTCTGATGCTGGCGTTTAAATCAAAATATATATCTCAATCAACTAGTCTCTCAATAAGAATCTTGCTTTTGATTTTTGAGACTTATTTTTAATTTATACAAATTTTAATGAATACAAATTTTAATGTGTCAGCTTACAATGGTACATAACACCCATGAGCAGACACAGTAATAAAAAATAAACCTTTATACGTGTAATAAGGTGGCGGCGATGGTGTAATGGTTAGCATAACGAACTGTTATACCCAAGTTGGCAGGTTCAAACCCGATCAACGCTGTGCATTTTTAAGGCGAAAACATTCTTTGTACGCCTTCCTTCGGAGGGGAAGTAAAGTAGGCTGTCCTATGTTAGTAGATTTGCTTGCATGTAAAAGATCTTCAAGCCCTTTTTTTGCCCTATAAATATCTCCTTTCTCCGCTAGTTGCTGAAAGGAGCGTAGCGAAATTTGCGTGGTCAGATGGAAGAGCGGGCCTGATGGCCCAAGTCTCGCCAAGTAAAATAAGGAATTAATTCAATTCATTTCAATAATAATAAGTTCTCTCATGTTTCTGTGACAAATTTCATTGTGGCAGTTTCCCATCTGCAGATCTCATTCAAGTACAACTTAATTTATTCATTCGTCATACAAAAATACTTTCTCTAGAACTTGAAAAAGTAATAAATTTGCATTTTGTAGGATTTTGACTCAATTTCAAATTTATTTTTGTTGTTTGCTGATGATATTAAAATCCAGGAAGAAATGAAATTTCTTGATGATTATATCCACCTAAAACATGTTTGAATGGTCTCTCAGTTTGGTGCTTGGTTATTAAACTGAAATTGAATAATAAAAAAATATGTAAGGTTGTAAGGTACACTGAGTTTCCTAACAAGGAACATGGGCAGCAAATTATTAGATTCTGTAGTTTACATTAAAGATCTGTACGTGTTTTTTGACTCAAAAATGACATTTGATGTAAATCTGAATTATATATAAAATAAAGCTTTGGGATTTGTGATGAAAAGGTGGTGGATATTGATAATCTCAAACTTCACCAAAAATGATCAATAAAATGCTTTTAAAAGGTTCTAAAAATGTCCTAAAACCAAAGGAAATTGACCTTAAAAATGTGATCAAAACCAGTTCAGATGAACACCTAAAACTTTTGGATATGTTACCCATGTAATCGAGGTTACTTCTATTCTGTCAAACTTTCAAACTTTTGGGTTGAAACTTTACCAGAAAATCTGTCTTTAGTTATCCTGAAATCGACTGAACCGCCAATTGTGCTGTCAGGTGTCAAAGGAACTTAAGATTACATTCAGTGGCTGACGTTACAACTTCTGAGCGAAGAAATTGAATAAGCTACCAGGTATAGGTACTCAAGAATTCTGTAAAGAACATTTGTTGCATCTCGTAAATATTATTTGAAGCAAGTACCATTAAAATCATATTAAAATTGATGAAATCCGTGAAAAATGCATTCAAAATAACGATAAAAGGTAAACAAAAAAAAGTATTAGACAAAATTGAAGAAAAATGTTTTAAAAAAGTGTGATAAAATGGGTCATTTCCTTTTGGCATAACATAAAATGAATTTATGTACTAAGATGCATTGTTCTAAAGTGAAAAGAAAAAAACATTTCATTAAAATCCGCCCCCTAATAATAAGATTGTTGAACAACTTAATTGAGAGGTCGACATTTCAAATTATTTATTAAGGGTGAGGTTAATTCTATTGTAAGTGTTGCCAGTTTGGTCACAGCTCTATCGAAACAGCATAGACTTGAAAAGATCCAACACAAGTTTCTATATTTTGTGGGATGGAAACTGAGATTGGAATCACTTCGAATGAACCATGAATATATGGGAATGGCTACTCTACTGAGATAGAGCTCAGTGATGTCTCATAGAAATTATAACAACTTGTGTATTTTTAGAAATTTATTTTGAAATGCCATTGATTGTAGAGAATAATTATTGAAAATTACTTGGAAGGTGCTGCATAGAGGTTTAAGAAAATTTGATGATACATTTTTCTTCTTTCCACTTCTAAAACTTTTTTCAATTGTCCTCTTTGGAGAATGTGTCATTTGGCAAACATATTAAATCTAGATTTTTATATATAGGCATCAGCTTGTGGAACAGGTGAGATCAAGTATTCTCTGCAATTATAATTGAGGATGATATTGTGTAATTGTCAAATTTTTGATATTGTGATAAATTTTTATTGTTAAGTATTGCATTATTTATAACTTGCAACTGTAAAAGTTAAGTATGATATGTATATATGATTTGATAATACTGTGTTGTATTGGGCGTTTACCTGTAATGAATGAAATACTGTCTCTTTATTTAAAATTTTGTCCTCTTTTAACCTTTTAGATCCACTAGAACCTTTTAGATTTTTAAATTTCCCTGAGGAGTCAGGGCTTCAACTGTTGCATGATTGAAAAAGAAAATACAATAACATCTAAATGGCATTTGTTATAATACCTTGTTATGACACCTTCGCATTGAGGGCATTTGTCCTTATGGGACATCTCACTCCATTTAATTGTCTCCCTCTTCATGAATAAAAATGAATTGTTTTCTCCAATTCATATAATAATATTAGAGTCCAGTATTTCATTAGAGTGATTATTAGATCATAATCTTTGGCCTTAGTAAACAAGCTGATAAGTCAACCTTTTGCCAAAAACCGAATACTGGATTGCCCTAATAATTATATTCTCATTTATAAACACATAAGTTAAATTTCTGGTTGTTAAGTAATGGGCACTAGTGTATGAATAAAACTTGAATTTCTTAAAATGTAAATCATAACAAAGAAAGCTATGTTCACATTATAACAGGTATTTGAGATAATTGTTCTTCATCAAATAAGTTCAGCAGATATTCACCATAGAAAATTAGTTAATATAATCACAAAATGGCATGATCTCTACAATTCACAACTTATCAGCTTATTTTCTGAGTGCCAGAACAGACATAGATTTCCTCTCTGTGTCTTCAAATAACTTATCACGTATAATTAAAAGTTTTCCTAACTGTAAGGAAAATCTGTTCCCTTTTGTTAGCACCCATAGAATATTTTCAAATTCTCCATTCAATTATTTCTGTTTTAGACGCTCGTTCCTGTACCAGAAACTGCTTCATGTAGTTTCTAAATTGAGTGAATCGTCATAGTTCACAATCTGAATTAGAAGATAGAAGAAGGAAACTATCTTACCAGTGATAATTCTGATGTATTCCTGCTGATCAAAAGACAAGTTGTTGGCACCTTTTTATATACAAGTTGTGTTCCGAGTCAACTCTATTCTGAAGTAGTGTGTGCAGTGTAATGAAATATAGAAATGATAATCTTTGATTGTTATGTTTAGTTTCTAGAGGTGTGAATGATAGCAGTAATTAACTTATTTGAATCATAATTGTATTATTTGATTTGTGATAATATTGTCGATGACCTGCACCTGTGCAGATTTTGTACATTTGTCAAGAAAAAAAAAAAAAAAAGAAAGAAAAAAAAGGGCATATATTGAAATGTTTCCACTATATTCCAAATATAAATAGTAGACACTTATATACTGAAACTTCCTATTGATACTATGCTTATATATTGAAAATTCCTATTGAAGCATTTTATTTTATTTAGTTATAAACATTTACACATTTGTAATGTGTACTTTAGGTTCAGTGGATCTAAACATTTACTGTTATTCAGTTCAAGTTACAAGTATTGTGTTAAGTGTTTATGATGTCAGGCAGCAAATTGTGAATGCGTCAATACCCAGCGGCCGAAATGGGGAATGGATTAGGATAGAGGTAGGGTTTAGGGCGCTTCACAGAGGGTTGGACTGTTGTTCACAATTCTGTGTCAAAGGCCGCTCCGGGGCTCCGCAAAAGAGGCCAAAAAGGAAGAGACGGAAAGATATAAAAGTAGTGAAAATGGCGATCAAAAGTCGAATGTTTTCTCCGGTTTGCGTATTCGAGAAACGCAAATCTGCCTGCGACCCACGAAAAAAATCCCATGCATCGAGAACTTGCTCGAGAAAGGAGCTACTTGATAGTCTTAACAAGTAACGCTTGCTGCAAGCAGACAATACTGATACAAACTTTTCTTCAGTGTATTCATTGTTCGGGGTATGCCTTCGATCAATCGGATCGTATTATTGTTTGTCGGTATACGCTGAACTCGCCACGAGGCTGCTGGCGCGAGTCAAATTTGAACTGGGGGGGCATGAAGCTTGGAGACAGGCGGTACTGCGTTAAAAATTCATAGAATTTCTCAGTAATGTCCTTAGGTTTCTTTCTCGTGAGCACACAAGGAAAGGACATGTCTCAAATGCGTTCTCAAACTCTCAGTGGCTGCCCTTCTAACGACCAGCTTCCTTTCTTGGTTTAGCGAGACGTAAGAGAGACTGAACACTAAAGGTGCGTTTACACTGCGCGAGCGAACGCTTCTGAACGACCAATTCTTCGTTGGCTCGGCCTAGAAAAAGGAACACTCGAGCGAATCGTGTCGTTTGGGCGACCGTTCGTTCCGTATAAACGAATGCTGACGCCGAGCAATCACATTCGCTCGGAGAGCATAGAGGAGAGATACAAGGATATACTTCGCTCGGAGAGCATAGAGGAGATTGTATCTCTCCTCTATGTCGGAGAGAGAGGTTCGGGACGAGATGGAACGTTTTCTTTTCTACCTGCAAGCACGTTGGTGAATGGCGCTTATTTCAACAGACCTGTGAGCATAAAGGCGAAATGCAGTTTGTAGTTTGTATTGAAAAAGTATGAGAATTGTAAATGATGAGTTTAAAATCAGGAAAAGAGAAGATACGGTACACAATACTCAAATTTGTTTATTTTAATTATATTTTAAAAATTTGTTTCAATATAACACAACATTGCGGACGCCAGACACAATTCACTTTTATCAAGACAATCTTTAATAATATTCATGAAGCTGATTTGAATGAAGTATTTTATATTCGATTTTGTTGAGAATATGTTAATTTTAATTTAAATGCATTAACTGTCAGATATCTCTGTTCAATACAATAGTTTTTACGTAAATTAACATATTTTGTTAAATGTTAATTCACATTTTTTGGAGAAATTGGAGACTTAAACAGTAATAATGTACATTCAAGAAATCTGTAGTTCTTTTGGTCCTTGTAAGAACTTTTTAAAGAACTACGATTTAAGACCATTAAATTCAATAAAAGTAATACATTTTTAAAAAACTAGGTGTTTCAGTATGGCGGCTATTTAATGACGTCTTATCAATATGGCATTGCATATGTACCAAAATGGACCATTGGGTCATGCAAACCTACGTACGTACCTACTACATGCAAACGTACGTACGTACTAGTGACAAATTGGACATCTTCGAATCAGTATGGCGGCTACTTAAGAGAAGTCAAAACGGTATGACGTGGTCGTAATCGGCAATGAAAAAATAATTTTCTACCATTAGATGAAAAAAATAACTTTGAACTCGTAATCCAAGATGGCATAAAACAGCCATTTCGAATTCAATATGGCGTAGTTTGAAACACCACATCTGTAGGTCATACATCTTCGAACTTCACTATTTGGCTATCTAAAGAACAATAAGAAGTAGCTGTGTACTTATTCCCCAATGGCATAGATTTGTTTGACACATTCAAAAAATTGTGCAGCGCAACGACACACATAATCGTCATACTTGCGTTTCCCTATTCTTCGTAACTCTGGCTAACTTCTCAAAAAGTTTTTGCTTTGAGTTTATCATATTTTGTTTTGCTGGCTCTCTGCATAGTTTCAATTGGGCTCTTAAAGTAGTAGATGATATCTTTTCATTCGCAGTGTCTTTTTTTTCAGATTTTTGCGAAGTAAGCGGATGTCATGCGGAATAAGTGCAAACCTTTAAATTCAGTTCAGAAAGGATTAGAAGTTTGGGATTTTTGATTCGCTTTTGGGGTTTGTTTATTTATTCATTTAGGTAGAGGTGCATTACTACAGCTAAGGTGATTGGGGCCCAAGAGTGATCATAGAATAACATTTTTGTAAATTGTGAAAAAAGAAAGCATTAAAGAACAAATCATTTATTTAAGAAAAAACAAGTTTGTGCAATTGAAAATGTGTTTATCACCAGCTGTAACTGATATCAGCAGACTTACACTTGGTTCAAGGGATGTCTTAACCTGAAACACAAAAAAACGACAATGTTAGAAAAATATATTTCAATGTGAAATAAATCATATCAAAATAGTAATTAAACGTTTACAGAAATAAAACAAACAACTATTGTTTAATTGTATAATCAGTTCAGTGATAGACCATATAATTTGAGAAAAGCTTTATATTTGTTAGCAATATAAGCAAGCAAACTATTAAAGTGTATAATCCCCAAAATGAACTTATTAATGGGCTATTAATGTGGAATTTAGATATGGTTTTCTTCTCGAGACTACGTACTATCAGGCAGAAAAATACAGAGATAAGCCAGTTGTTGCCGCTTCATTGATTGGTAGCACACACATTGTGGCGTCGCCTTGTACAAACATGACAAAATATTAGCCACGTGCATTTCATGTTCATGGACAGCGCTGGTGTGAAGAGACGCCAGGCTGAACAATGGCAAATCTAGGGAGTGGAAGGGAAGGGGTGCCGTGTCGTGGGTGGCAAACTTGGGAACCCCGTAGGCAAGCCGGTGGCGGAAACGCGTCGGCGAAAACAGCGAGATGCAGTTCCGTCAGCCGGCCCAGAAGGTAATAAAAACGGACCCCGGACCTAAACGCCTCCTTTTGATTCTTAGGCGCTTAGGTAGGAAGTCGTGTGGGTTGTGCGCGGAGCTGCATTTCAATGCATAGGCTACTGAGGCAGGGAACTAAAGCCGGCGTGCTACGTCGAGATGGAAGGTGCGGCATACTCGCTTGTATGCTCACGTAGGCTACTGGTGCATCGCACCGAATAAGATATCTGATTATCAGGCCAGCGGTGGCGGTGACCAGGAACATTCCTTCTAGTAACGGGTCAATATTGTTTATTGTAATTATTGTTGGAGGTTCAGGTGTTGGAGCATATTTCAAGTAAATACTCAATAAATTACAAACCGTTCACGTCTGTGATTTATTAGCCCGGCAAAGACGCCACAACATCTTCGTGCAGAAATGCAATTGAGAACGCACCGCGACAATTCAACGTTTGCGCCAAAACTATAAATATTTGAGTAACGTTTGTACAGGTGCTACATCTTTTTTACGACTGATATTTACTTCCTCGAATATACTTCGTAGAAAATGCGGATTTTTCTTGCTTCTACGTGTACTAAATTAAATTCTTTTCAACGTGGTGTAGTAAGAATCGAATATGGAAAAAGAAATGATGGTCATTAAAAGTAGTGGAAACAGCACATACTTTCTCTAATTTGTAACAATAACGCCTTGTTCTCTTCAGCAAAAGAAGCAAGCGAGTTCACATTAGCATTTTTCGCGATTTAACCGGTTTTAAAGAAAATTGGACTTAAACTATATTTTAAGCGCACTTTACTCGAAGGCAACTTTTATGATAAATATAGTAAATATTTCATATATATATATATATATTTATTATATGTATATTTAATTGCCATAATTTTTAAAAGATTCCTTGATCTGACTGATATCGCGGTCCCGTGAAGTTGAAATTGATGTATGGATTACATTACATGTAAGCAGAACATCGACTTTTTCTGCAAAATGACCCCATTTTTTCCTTTACGTTATTAAATCAGAACAACGAATGCTCATAACAATGACGTTGGTTCAATTTTCAAAATTTGTAAAAGAATCAATTTTCGGACTTTCTCCCCTAACTAAATTTTTGAAGACAGATTTCTTTCTTAATAAAATTCGTTCTTCAAAATAATATCTTTTAATAAATCCATTAGTATTTTTCGTGTAATTTTCAGTGAAATCGTGACAAATTAAAAAAAATGTTATCAAATCATATGTTATACAAAAATATGTTTTGCAAAACACTGCTCACAATTTTGTTTGTGAATTATTTGCCGAAAAGAACAATATTTATTCACTCGAGTGGAATTAATTCCAATAATAACTAGTACAGCTAAAACTACGTATTTTCTCATCCGTACAATGATGCAAAAGTATGTGAAAAGTACTCAAATTTCCGAAAAATTGTGCATGTCCTTATTTCAAAATCTATCTTTTATGAACAGATATTATCCCTATATGCATAATTGTAGTTGTAGGAAAACACCAAACAAATTTGAATTTTTTCAATTTCCTAAAAGTCAAGTTTCAACGAAAATTAGACCTGCATCATTCAATTTTCTAAAAATCAAGTTTCAACGAAAATTAGACCTGCATCATTCTTTTAAAAAGTCCTTCACACTTCATGTCAAGTACTCCCAAAATTAAAATATCAGTTACAAGGAGCCGCGACACCAGCCACATCGATTTAGGAATATCAATTTTGGAGAAATCGACTGAAGCCACTAGCGTTGTTCACAGGCGAATGTAATACAGACAGACATTTTGCGGCATTCGATTTTTCGGTATCAAGGACCCACAAAACAAGGATTCGGTCTATCCCACGTGTTAGAGGGTTTTTTCTAAGTTTAGCAACAGGGTTTATCCAG